AAGGAAACAAGAAAGTCTGGTTCTTCTTTCTAGTCTGTGAAGTAGGAGGTGGTGTCATTTGTTGTCTGGAGCCACAAGCCCCATGTTACTGGGTTGCAAGCTGCTGACTGCCTTTGTTAACATGCTGAAGATTTCATCGGCTGTCTTTAATAAAAGAGGATGTGTGTGAGGGAAGACATCAGCCGTTGCAGTTGGGTTTCTGTTCTCCAGCCCATGACTCATGGCTGGCAGATGGCAATGACACCCAATATATAACAGACAGCCAGTCACCTGAACGTTTTGCATTTCAGTTATACAGTGAAGCAGTCTTTAAGTCTGTTTAGAAACCTTACTTGCTCTTATCTATATATATTTATATAAATAGGTAATATGCAAATTAGCTGGGGCACCGTAAGGCATCACGACCAGCTCAGAAGGAGCTTCGCATGTAGATAGGCAGGAGGGGAATGCGTGCCACCCTCAGCCCCAGCAGCTGGGGGGAGGCTGGGGCTGGGGAAGGGCCGGAGCAGAGACACAATACACAGGGGTGCCTGCTCTGAGCCTCTGCGGCACAGCTTGGAATACGCACCCACCCCAGTGGACACACACCATGGGGGATTCTGTGTGGGAGCTGCCAAGGAAACACCTTTTCTGACCACTCATTGGCTAAGCTTCCAGTACTTCACTCACAGTGCTCTTAGTAACTTGCATAATAAGAATCCAAGAAGGTAATCTAGGGTTTTTCCACCTCATTTCTGGAGGAAAAAAACAAAGGTCTTCTGCTAGAGCAGCTAAGAAATGTCATATCCTGCCCTAGCTGGTTTTGCTCAGTGGATAGAGCCTCGGTCTGCAGACCACAGGGTCTGGCTTCGATTCTGATCAAGGGCATGTACTTAGGTTGCAGGCTTTGCATGCAGGAGGCAACCAATTGAAGTATCCCTCTCACATTGATGTTTCTCTCTATCTTTCCCTCTCTCTTCCATGCTCTCTAAAAATCAATGGAAAAATATCCTCAGGTGAAGATAAAAAAGAAAAAAAAGAAATAAATGCCATAGCCTATGAAAGAGACATCTTGAAAATCCCTAAAGTTGTCACTTTTTTGTGGTGAAGGAACTGGAGTCCATGTTGATGAAAACACTTCAGTGGCTACAACGGCCGGCAGTGGCAGCAGCAGATGGGGGTGGTGCCTTCCCCTGATTAGCCCAGTCACCCGTAGGTCACCCTAAGCCAACAGTAGTACACCCCCTGAGGGCTCCTGTGAGAGGGGGCAGGCTGGACTGAGGGACCCCCCACCACACCCCAATGCACAAATTTCATGCATTGGGGCCTCTAGTTTGGTTATGAAAAAGCTTTTAAAAATTTTTATTTTGTCCAGTAAATCATTTACTATTCTGTTAATAAAGCTTTATCTGAATATGTACTGCCTTAAATAATTATGGGCAAGAGAAGAATTCTGTTTTATGGGAGGATAGACATTTGATCTGACATATTTTGTTCTATAGGAACTTCATTCTCTTATTAAGAAAAAAAATCATTTCAGAAGCTGTAAAAGCATATAATCTAGGATCTGGAAATGACTTCTAGAAGAGCGTTTTTCAAATTTTAATGAGCATACAGAGCACCTGAATATCTTGTTAAAATTCAGAATCTTACTCAGTAGGTGGCACCTGAAATTCTTCATTTCTATTAAGCCCCTAGGTGATGCTAATGTCCCTCCCTAAACTCTCATTTTTGTAGCAAGGTTGGATGACCTGAAGGCAGTCAGTCCAGTGGGCATCCACTAAGCTACCCATGAGATTGCCGTAGAAGGGAGATATGATGGGCTTAAAAGATAAAAACCCTATCTTTGAGGAGAGAAAACAACCATATAGGGAGAAGGTAGTCTATACCAGTTTTAGTCATAAATTTTTAACAGACAAATGAAATTATTTATGTCAAATGACACTTTTAAAGTAGTTACCTGAGGCAATGGGTATGTATGTCACATATGAGCACACAGCATGTCAATTTCATCAGTTTCCAGTTATGCAAATAAGAATCTGTTACATAATATATGTGCATTGATTTTCAAAATAACTTTTTTTTTACTCTATTAAAATAGGTACATTCAAACCACAATGTTTCCTCTGAAAGTAGTAATCTATTTCTAGTTAGATACTTGCTTAAAAATATTGAATGCGCCCTAGCTGATGTGCTCAGTTGTTTGGGTGTTGGCTAGTGCACCAGTGGGCTGCCAGTTTGATTCCTGGTCAGTGCACATGCCTGGGTTCCCCATAGGGGGTGTAAAGGAGGCAGCCTATCAGTGTATCCCTCTCACATAGATGTTTCTTTCTCCCTCTTCTCCTATCTCTGAAAATCAATAAAAAATAGTTTAAAAATTGAATGATTTTCTTCATATGCACATTTTTTTAGTTTACTTGGATTTTTATTCTTTAGGAAACACAGTAAGTATTATGTAAGCTTCCATGAGACCTATTATCTCACATGAACTTCATAATGTCAATTTTTGATTATTTTTGTTTAATGAGAAACATGCTAATGTGAAAAATGCAAAATTAAAGTTATTTGAAAACACCAATATAATTAGCATATCAGACTCATTTTGATATCAGATTTAACTTCTTAATTGTATTTTCTTATAATAATATTAACTTTTTTTTGGTAACCTCTGAACCTCTGAGTGTTTTTAAAAAACCCATTGAGTTGGAATTCTAGCTAGGTACAGACACTCCGGTAATAAAGTTATTCAAGAAATAACCGCTATCCCTCAGGGACATCTGGTTTCTCTCCGCCCACCCACTGGGCCTCTTCTTTGTCTGTGAAGTAAGGAATGGTCTCCAACCCTTGTTCTCCCTCCCCATTTCCTCTCTTCCTACTCAGGATAGCAGGGAATTAATCTATTTAGCCTCTCTAGTAACTCCAAGACTGTGAATACACTTCCCCATCCGTTTAGTAGCTGTTTATTGGTTGTGATGCTAAGCTCTGTGAGGGAACATCATTCAGAAGTGTGTTCAAGCATCAAACTCAAGATAATAATGGTGGTATGCCAACACAGTTCTCTTAGGAAGACAGAGTAGGAGGTGTTATTTTAGGTTTCCAATGTGGAGATACTCACTGCACATGTAATTTGGAGCTGTGTTTATTTGGAGTGCTGTTTAAAATTAGATACTGACCATCTGTATTTTTCTTGATAAGTGTGGAGTCGTCCAGACTAAAAGGTTCTTCGAAGGTTAGTAACAGTTTATGTTTGCAACATTCCTTTTGGAAAGGATGTTGAAAAGTTGGAGAATAATGCCCAGTAGTTGAAAACTTAAGAGAATTTTGGTATACATCCAGAAACATATTATGTAGCCATTGAAATAAAAAATTGTAAAGTTTGTATAGCCACATAAATATCACAAACATGCATTTGCTTTATCTCAAGCACGGTGAGTCAAGAAAAGTAAACTTGACATTTGTAGAGTATCTACAATGTGCATGAACTGTGCCACATTTATTTTCTCTTATCTTTCTAACAATGTGCAGAAAGTTGATATTATTTCAATATTTCATAAATGAAAGACCTGAGACACAGATATATTAGGGGACTTCACCAAGGTCATAGCAGTGGCTGAGTGAGAACTCAGATCCACATCTCAAAATCCAAATCTGATCCTTTTTCCCCAGTTGGTTTATTCTGAGCTATTTACCCCTCTCCCCAGCACTGCTTTGGTTCAGAAATAATTGTTTTTACAGTAAAGAGTAGAGTCATATGAATTCAGCTGGAAAATGCATGCATTGTGAAAATGCTAAATCATAGAAATAATGGTGAATTATTTTAGGTGGTATCAGATTTGCCAGGACAATTAAGAGTTGACATCATCTGAAAAATGGAAACATAATCTTAGCATAAACACATTTTGTTTTATCTGATATTTGAAATATGCATTTTATGTAACTGCCAAAGTATTAGCTACTCTGTAAGCCAGAAAGTTCCAGGGACAAGACAAGAGCAACAGTACAGCCCTTATTCATTGATAGCAAGCAAAATATTTTTTTCCCTTTGGAAAGGAGTGTTATTAACTAATGTCTGAGAATTTGGGGAGGGAAACCCTGTTTTACTAGTGCTACATAACATACTTTTTTTTTTTTAAGTTTGCCTTTCACATGATAACTTTGTATTACAATTAGCACAAATTACAGAAAAATCTGCAAATTATTTTTAAACAAATAGCATAAAACTTCTCTTATAAAAGTACGATATTTTATCTATTACTAGATGTTTTTACTTTGCTGTATTTAGAGTAAATACCATTAGGTTACAAACTGGCTTAAAAGTAAAGACTTTGTCTCATTAAATTACTTGAGCTAAATTTGGAAAGGACTATAATGGTTTCATTTGAATTTTTTTTTTCAGGATAGTTTACCCTGAAAACATCAGTAAAACTTTTATATTTTACTTATTTATGTTTTTATAAATGGCATAGAATATTGCTAAGGAGAGGGAACAAAGGTGGGGGAATGGAGGGAGTCAATGGGGGGAAAAACACAAAGGATCCATCTGTAATACGTTCAACAATAAAGATACATTTTTTAAAAAGAATTTTAAAAAGTGGGTGGACACAGAAATGTGTCAAATTTTCCCACTTAATATTGTATTTCTTGGTGCTGAGTTGACCAAAAGTTTAATTTTGTCCATCTGAAATTGTATCCCCCTTTTTCCCAGGGTGGGACCACTGACTAGGTTTCTAGGTTTTCATATGTAATCCATTCTTTCTCATTAAAGACGAAAACTGTTTCTCTAGCTGCCTGCCCTTTTTACAAAGGCACAGAGTACACAGATTCTGTTTGGAACCTTTCCCCCCCCACCCCCCTTCCTTCCTAGTTATCTTTGTCTGTTTGTATAAATCGCTAAATTGCTTCCATGAAATGCCTCCAGCCATAAGGGAATCATTTGCATAAGTGGATGAAGATTTTTGTCTTCCTCAAAGGAAAGCTTGACGTGGCCTCTTAATCAGTTTCCTTCCTCTCTCTGGCCTTAGTATCCGGCTGCGCTGATGAACCTGGGAGCCATCCTGCACCTGAACGGCCGGCTGCGCCAGGCCGAGGCCAACTACCTGCGGGCACTGCAGCTCAAGCCCGACGACGTCATCACACAGTCCAATCTCCGCAAACTCTGGAACATCATGGAAAAGCAAGGCTTAAAGACTTCCAAGACCTGACAGGAGCCGGGCCTCCCCCTCCTCCACATTTTCCAGCTGGCTTCTTCACCAACAGGACTTCCCAGCAGGGCGAGGACAAGAGCTTTGTTTGGAGCCCAAGGCCAGGGCAGAGGTCACCGGGGTCACTGCCTCTTAGCTGTGGACACAGCCCTTAACACCAAAAATGGGGGGGAACCTTGGAAACCTCCTGAGGGATGTAATTGTTACCCATAGAGCTAAACCAGAGCACTTAACAAAGGATCTCTCGGCCTTCTTAAAGAGGGGCGGCCTCTAACTTCCAAATTTGTGCATTTTTGAAAGCTAATTTAGAAATCATATTGTTTTCCTAAACACTGTGAGAGGAAGCCAGAGTGTCCATGCAACCACAGGAAACTATGAAGTGTTCGGAGGGAGTGATTCATGTGTCCTTTGGACCCTCGGAAGCCAGCGGTTGTCCAGACGCTGCTGCCTTCCCTCTTTGGGGCGGCCTGCTTATCAATTTCTGCATCTTAGAAAACTACTTTTTTTTTTAATAAGACGTCATGCCCTGTGAGAGTCTACACCTGTTTCCTGACTAGTGCACATAACGTGTTATGATTTGGATGTCAGTCTTCACTTTTGGGGGAATCATTTGCTTTTCATGACCGGAAAAGGATATGCAGAGTAGAGTAATTAACCCCCATTTCACACCAGTATTGTAGGAGGGGGTAGGGAGGCCTCATATTGTACTTGTCAGGCAGGCATTTTTTTTTTTTTTTTACTTTAAAGTCGCCAATATTTACACGCCCTCCCACAAAAAAATTGCCTATGAGAATTCATTGTATTAATTATTAGGCTTTTGAAATTGCCTTTTAAAATGGCTATTCCTGGTTAATGCACATGTTAATGCATATAAGGACTAGAGGCCCGATACATAAAATTCATGCAAGAGCAGGCCTTCCTTCCCCCAGCTGCCTGCACCGACTTTTCTCTGGCACCCGGGACCAAGCTTCCCTTGCAGCCCGGGCTTTCCCCGGAAGGTCATCTGGTCTAATTAGCATATTACACTCTTATTATTATAGATTATAACTAAAGGAAGCTTAAAAGTGTTCTAGCTCCAATAACTAACCAGCAGCTCTTAGACAAAAGGGAAGGTGCTTTGTGCTTTCCAGATGTTACTGGTTAAAAAATCAAGTCTGCTCAAAGGAGTGTATAATCATGGTTACCAATGACTTTGTATTTGGGAGATGTTATTATGAAATGCTAATATTTTTCTAATAGGTACCAGAACAGTAATGCTGATATGGTTTTAAGGAATTGTTTTTATTGTATTTCTCATATTTTGCTCTTCCCAAAAAAACATAAAAATGACTTCTTATTTTAAGCTGCAGTAGAGTGTAGCATTCGCCTGCGTGTTTCTAGGTCTTCTGCCAAGTGCTTTTTACAGTTGAAAAACATTTCTCACTAGCAAATTTAGTATTTTGTTTCATTACCTATTTGTAACCACTTCCACGTTCACTTCACAAGTAAAAGAGTATAAAAGATGTAGAGAAGAACATTTGAACATTTTTTTTTGCCTTGCAGTCAGACTTTGCTACTAAAAATTAACTTTGTGAAAATAATAGCCCACTATTAGTTTCTTCATAAGGTAGAAACACAATACTCTACATATTTATTTATTTATTATTCTACAATAGCAGAATAACAAAACAAAACTTGACTCATCAAGCCAATTCCCTGCAACTGAAAATTAGCTTTTTCTCCTTCACACTCATGCTCCATGTATATATGGTCAGCATTCCCATTAAAGGGAAGCTACACATGCAAATGCATCGTACTACTATGTTTTCGCCATACTTTATGTTTTTCTGCATATCTGAAGACAGTGGGATAAAGAATTTGAAGTGGTGTTCTTATGGCATTAGTGCTTTTGTAAGAAGGGCAGATGTAGTGAGAGAGATTTGTTGATGGCATTAATAAGAAGGCCCTCCTACTATGTGTAGTATTTTGTAAACATTTCACTGAGGGGCCAAAAGTTAAATTATAACTAAATCACTGTGTTCTCAGAATGATATTTAACATTTAGCAACAACAAACCCGTGGTCAAACCAAAAATAGGGGGTTGAAGTGTATTTTTCATCTTCTACTGCATTGGCAATTGCAAACAAATAAATAAAAAAGGAATTTAATATAAGGATATACAGATGAATTCAATGTCTAACATTTTTATTTATTTAAATATTGACTTATGATGATTTCCTAGTTTTAACACTTTATGTCTTTTTATTATTATTGTTCTTCCTTTCAAAACACTTGGTTCTTAATAGGTTTGCTAATTGCACAGTAGAGGCACTTCATATTGACCCAGTTCCCAAGTAGCATTAATAATTGGGCCTGTGTCATAAAATGCATGGATCTCTAATAACGAAATGTCCCTGACACCTTTTATTACAGGGCTGGGCTTAGACCAACTTGGGGGGAGGGGAAAAGGGGAGCATAACAGAACATGGTCAAAAATGTCTCCGCTCAGGGATTTATGGTGGATTATTGCAGACAGTGCTAAAAATATAGAGCACAAGACAAGTTTACTAAATTAAAATTTTATTTTTTGAGAAGCTGTTATTTGTATAAATTATCAAGATTTGTAGGCTTTCCTTTTGTAGAAATAATTGTTTTATGTGCCAGAGAATTTCAATTTTGTTTTCAACAATAAAGCATTGATAACAAATATGTTGTTGAAGCCTTTTTTCAGTTTTCCACAGCAACAACACTTAAACTCTCTTGAGTTTTAGCAAAACCAGGAGATGATTTTTAAAAGGTGGCGATTGAGAGTCAAATAGAGACAGAATGTAGTTAATGTATAATAAGAATTATTAACTTTTAGTAGTTACAGTAGCAATAAGGGTTGCTGATGTTGTCATTGGATTTTCCATGTTCAGAAAGATGACATGATCCTGGCTGGTGTGGCTCAGTTGGTTGAACATTGTCTCATGCACCATTCACTGAAAGGTCACCAGTTCAATTTCTGGTCAGGGCACATGCCCAGGTTGTGGGTTCGATACCCAGTTGGGGTGTAAGCCAAGTAATGTTTCTCTCTCTCTCTTTCTCTTTCTCCATCCTCCTCTCCCTTCCTCTTTAAAAGAATCAATAAAGCCCAGCCAGTGTGGTTCAGTGGTTGAGCATCAACCTATGAACCAGGAGGTAGGGTTCGATTCCTGGTCAGGGCACGCCCAGGTTATGGGTTCAATCCCCATTAGGGGGTGTGGAGGAGGCAGCCAATCAATGATTCTCTCTCATTTTTGATGTTTCTCTCTTCCTCTCCCTTCCTCTCTGAAATCAATAAAATATCTATACAGTATATTAAAAAAATAAAAAAGAAAATATGACATGGGTTTTGTTTTGTTTTATAGATGAACTATAGAAAAATATTAGGGAATATCCCAAGCAGAACCAATTCCCTACTTCTCAAGTTGCTTGGTAAAAATGGCTATAATTAGAAGAACCCAATTCTCTAGCTTTAGTCCTGGAGGAAAGCATAGTCCCAATCTGCTGAGAGACGGGTGTGGTGCATTCAGGGGTCAGTTATAAAGAAACCTTGGATTCCAAGCAAGGTGCAAATTGGCAGGCAGAGAATTTGATAGTCTTGAGAAAATTGTCATATATATATGGAATGATTGTGTATTGCCTGATTCTTTTTATTTCAGAATAAAATTTACAGTAGCTATAAAGATTTTATTTTCTGCTAAACAGGCTCTGGATGTGTCAGGTTCTGTTCCAGTTTTAGTTAAGAAAACCGGGGCTCAGCGGTATGAAATAACTTGTTCAGGTTATAAGCTAGCAACCAGCAACCCTGTCCCCATGTTGTGCTATGCTTGTATGTCTCCTCTCACGTGAGCACTCAGACCTTAAACCCAAGTTGAAGATGAGGTTTTTCACCTTCCTTGGCATTTCTCTAGCTATTTCTTTTTCTGCATTTTCTGCCTCTCTCATTGCAGATGATCCTGAAGATTGGAGAGATTGCTACACTCTGAATGTTTATGCTAAAAACAAACAAACAAACAAACAAAACTGATGCCTATAGGTGGTATGGAAGTAGGGGATTGATTGGGTCATGAAAGTGAAGCCTCGTAAATGGGATAAATGCCCTTGTAGAAGAATCCCCAAAGAACGCTTACCCCTTTGTCCAGGTGAGAATACAACAGGAAGTTTGCAGCCCAGACCAACCATGCTGGTATCTAATCTCAGACTTCTAGCCTCCACAACTCTAAGAAAGAAATTGCTCTTGTCTACAAGCCACCCAGTTTTGTTATTTTGTTATAGCAGCCCAAACAGACCAAGATGGAGGTGATGTATGAAAAATTATATTACAAATTTAGAGTATGAAAGCAAAAAAAAAATAAAAAATAAAAATTCATGTAACTAAATCCATTTACTTACCACCTAAGGAATGTAAGGCTCCTAAGTTCAAGGAATGAACCAAGATCCCAAGACTAGTTAGTAGCAGTTACACAATAGTTAGTAAGAGGTCTTAGTATATTAACTAAGTGCATAATTGACTCCAGTTTTTAATTTAAATGTTATTTTTCAATTACAGTTTACATTCAGTATTATTTTGTAACAGCGTAGTTGCTAGACATTCATATGCATATAAACTATTCCCTTAGATATTTCCAGTACCCACCTGGCATCTTGCACAGTTATTACAATGTTATTGACTATATTCACTATGCTGTGCTTTACATCCCCATGACTATTTCATAACTATCAATTTGTACTTCTTTATCCCTTCACTTTTTTTCACCCAATTCCCTCCCCTTTGGCAAATATCAGTCTATTCTCTGCAACTATGAGTCTATTTCTATTTGGTTTGTTTATTTTGTTCTTTAGATTCCACATATAAGTGAAATCATATGGCATGTGTCTTTGTCTGACTTATTTCACTTAGCCTAAGACTCCTGCAAATGGTAATATTTCATCTATTTTTATGGCTGATTGATCCCCTTTTTAAATTAAGGTATAGTTTTAACTTGGATTAAGACACTATCCTCTGAGACCAATGAGGGAGGGGCCATGTCTGTCTTTCTTGGCTTATTTTCTCCTGCCTGGCACATTGTTGAATAAACAAACATAAAATACACTGTAAATGAAAATCTCATGTTATTTGCTCATGACCAATTTAATATTTTAAAAAATCACTTTCTACCAAGTTGAGATTTGGGGATCCAATGTCTCCTTGTATTTGAAACGTTCACCTCGGTGAGAACAGTTCTCACATAGTCTTCCTTTCTAGCACAAAGGAAGGAAATGCATGGAAGTCTTGGCTATTCTTTCTATTGTAAGGAACAAGGGTTTCTGTAGATAATTAAAGCATTATCATCCAATTCATTTGTATGTAACTTTTCGAGATGATTTTTCACTTAACTTAAATATTATTGTCAATACTCTATCATTTGCTTCCCACTACTTAACACCCAGCTCAGTTTAGTGAAGGGGAACAACTAGAAAGCTTGGCTTTAGCGCTGGAACAGCCACACTCTGTGAGGAGAGAGCACGTTGAAAGGGCAGTGTAGTTGTGCTAGTTCTATTTTGCAGTAGAGAAAGCTGCATGTGAACCCGGACTTGAAGCTTTTCTTGCTATCGTTTTGGGTGGTCTTCCTGCAGGATGAAATCAGAGGCCTTTGAATCAGCTTTCATTTCATCTGCCACTTCACCACATATTGGCCTTGTGTTATTGTTTTTGTTCCATAGAGATTTGAGATATATTCCCCCGCCCCCCTCCCACCCTAGAGCATTTCTGAAATTTGAAGTCTTTTGTTAACTTAAAATTTCTGTGAAGTTTTTCTTCTAAGTTTCCCAAACATCCCCCAAAAGTCTTACAACTGGTCTTAGATGTTATTGTGTTATTTAATGGTCTACTTCCAAAGAGTGGAGGGAAGAGCTTTTGTTTAGCAAGAAAATCTTTGAGTCAAATGAGAACTGAGAATGTTACAAATATGCGAGACAACTAGGTGAGGTGGAAGGCTTCTGAACAGGCCTTCCAAGCTGTGCTGCTTTGGCATGTGATTATTTTGAGCTGAAGGAACTTAAAACCCTGCAGGCTCAGGAAACTTCTGCCACTCCTTTAACTACCTAGAAGATTATAAATTGGGAGTCTTACCCGTAATAAGAGTTATTACCAGAGATAACTTTTTATGATAACTATATATAGGGCAGGGCAAACTTCTAATTACTGAACATCTGCTCTTATCTTCCTACAAGTTTTCCTCCACCCCTCTGAAGCCCCAATGCATCTTACTTTATTCTTAAATTCAGTATGTCATATATATCTCATTTGGTCTTCTGTCACTGAACTTCTCATATATGTAGGGGTCTCAGATTCTGTCATTTATGGAGTCCCCATATGTGTGTATGTAATTAAATTTGGTTATTTTCTCTAGTTACTCTGCCTCAAGTAGATTTATCATGAGGGAGCGAGAAAGAAACATCCATGTGAGAGGGAAATATCAGCCAGCTACCTCCTGCACGCCCCCTCCTGGGAGGCTAGCCTTAAAGGGTAACAAGCTGGCATTCTTTTGGTGCATGAGAGAATGCCCAACCAATTGAGCCACACCAGCCAGGGTTCATGTGGATTTAATTATTAGGCCAACTGAAAGATTCTAGAAGGGTAGTAAAAAATCTGCCCCCCATCCCCCAACAAGGTCATTAGAACAATGTCTATGGGAATCTAAGAAGTTAATGTAATATCTAAAATGGTATTTGGGAAAAGCTTCTCGAGATTCCAAAAGGAGAAAGTAAAAGTGGAAAAGGAAGAGACAGGCACACAGGGAATTGACCGTTAATTGACACTGTGATTAACTTCATGTTGTAGAGGTATAGGGTTTGATTAGAACAATCTGAGACTGTGTCCTTCTTGGTTGTCCAAACATCTGCCAAGATCAAACCACTATGTTGTAGAGGGAAAACATCGTGTAATAAATAAAAGTGTGGATGATGTGATCACAGGAGAGGCTAGAGAAATGTTCAACCAATTTGAAGTCTAGTCCAGAACTGGCTATCTATTCTGATCTGAAATATATTTATTTTTTTTCCTATCTCCTTTGGATTTGACAGGAATATCACTCATTCAGACAAGGCTATCAGCCATTCTCCAGTCAGATGGATAGAATGAAGTTCTGCATTTCAAGTAATAGCTCAAGAATTCTAGAAACATTTTTTTAAACAATTTTCTTTCTATCATATTATATCTTTTTCTTTTTCATCCTAGAAGACTCAAAATGAAGTAACTCCTCTGAGAACTTTCTCTTGGTAATATCATTGAGCAGCTAGAGACTAGAGTGAACACTTTAAAACATGTATGGAGAAAGAAATCAAATACCTTATTTTCCGGCGTATAAGATGACCGGGCGTATAAGACGAACCCCTAATTTTACAGTTAATACATAGGTTTAGGCCTATATTCGCTGTATAAGACTACCCTCCACTTCTGAGGCAACACCAGTTCTTTTTTTAATAGACCGTCTCTCTGACTCTGGCCAACCTGAGCAGGCTTTTTACTAGAACACAGTGTAGCTTAGGGTACAGAACATGTATAATTTGCATGCATAAAAAGCCTGCTTGGATTGGCTGAGTTAGAGAGGTGGTCCGAGCAGCCTTGCAGTGATCGAGTTGGAAAATTTGTTTAGCGGCATATCCAGACGATTTTCGGGATCAAGTTGGAAAATTCGTTTA